AATGCTGGCTGCGTGACATATTTTAGCCTGACATCACGTTGGTGTTCTTTTATCCGTAGGTTGACCATTTCTCCCGGTTTCTCCAATGTATACTTGCCCGCAGGAACAAAATATTTTGTATAATCCTGCGGAACTGAGTGGAGATCTTTGATCTTTAGGATTTCTTAAGATTTGTCCTATCTTTTTGGGTGGTTTAAAGATAGTTCGGATGTGTTTGTTTAATATCCTGCCAATCCGATCTATTGTTCCTTTGACATATGGGAGAATGGATAGGACCTTTCGTCTGGTTGTGTGTCAGAGACCGTTGTTTTGTTTGCATGTTTATTGATTGTTTTGATTATATCTTTTTTATCGTGTTCGTTTTTTGTAAGGCTAGTTTTAAATGGTTGAGTTCTGTCTGTAAATGTTCCTTGTCAGAGATGGTGAAAACTCTATCTAAGTGAGGTAATTGCACTGTTTTGTGCTGGGTGGTGGTGTGATTCGGCATGTAGATATCTATCTGTGTGTGGTTTTTTGTATACTGATGGTTTTAGGTACCGTCAGCTTTTTTAGAGACAAGAACATCTAGGAAAGAGTTTTTCGTTTTCCTGTATGCCTATAATGAAGTAGATATTTGGATGTTGATTGTTGAGAAAAATAAGGAATTTACAGAGTTCGGCTCTGCCATGTCTCCATATCACGAATGTGTTGTCTACATAACGGAATCAAACTTCTAGTTTTTTAGATGTTTTTCCGAGGGCTTCTTTCTCAAAATGCTCCATGAAGATGTTGGCTAACGTGATGTCAGGCTAAAACACGTCAGCGTTATCAGAAGACCTCGAAACAGGACATCAAATATTGTTTGATAAAACGACCACAATAGCCAACATTACTTCATATTTTCCAAGAAAGTATAGAGAAGCCATAGAGATACAAAAACACCCTAACAATCTAAATAGAAATAATAGCTACAATATAAATAAAATATAGAAAATCATTTTCCCGGTTTTTGAAAACCGACCAATTTTCCTCTCCTCCTCACCCACAATTGTCTTCTTCCCCCCCATCACTCCAACAAGTAGTGTAATATAAAAAGGAACGGTCTGGAGGAACAGCTCAATATTAGGCTGCTCCTCGCCCTGATAAAGTGGACTGCAAGGTTCACGAAACGTTGGCGTTCCAAGAATGGATCTGGACACGGACGAAACCCGCAAAACGCATAATTTTTGTATAAAAAGCACCCGTGGAAGTCTCAAGAATATAATCATCATAAAATTTGGCAATGCCAATCGGTATGATAAAAAAAAGGATAAAAGTAATGGCGTTGTTTATTTCCTAGGTTTGCTTTCATATCATTTCATTTATTACAGAGAATATACATATCAACATTGTTTATTTCTTCAATAAATTTATCTGCGGTAAACATTTTGTTTTTATTGAAATCATGTAGACTTCTTTTTTTGGAGTGTTTCTTGGATGAGGGGAAAAGACGCCTTGTTATCTTAATCTATGGATAATGTGGCGCAAAAAAAACTTTCATGTAGACTTCTCGCTTAAATAAGTTAACTAACTCAACTCAACTCATGGCATAGAAAATAGCGTTGAGTTGTCATAAATCATGAAATTACTAGGTGGTTATGTCTATCATATTTTTCGGTCCTTGTGGAACTAACTCAAATTGAGTTATTGGAAGCACCCACGCTTGTACTTTTTACTGTTTCGAACAGTGTAACATTGGCCTAGTTTCCATCATGGATTTAATCCGGATCAGAATATAAGAACCAACCAAATACAGTCGAGTATTATCCTGTTACAGTTGAATGACAGGGGAATGCTCGACTGTAGTTGGGCGAATGCACGCCATCAAAGGATGTCTAGTCTCCATCCTTGGAGAAACAACTACCACAAGGATTAGACGCTTGCTTACTACACACGAGCTCGGGGATGATAAACCCTCAATATTTTTACACTTGCGGAACTTTGCAGAAGGTCAAGTAAGCGACCAGATTCTCAAGTTGATTTTTATGGAGCGTCTAGAGAACATACGCGCAATCGTGGCAATTAGTGAAGTAACAGATCTCAGTAAATTAGCGGATAAGGTAATGGAAGTGGCAAAATCTTTTTCCGGGTAACATCCAATCGGAGTTCCGAAATCGATAGAAACGCCAGTAAGATTTCAGCAGAAATAACTGAACTAACCAAGCGAGTAGCAAAATTAGCAAGACAGGTGGGAAGCAGATCGCGAAGCAGATCACATGATCGCAAGAATATCGGCAGACGGTCGTAGCAAATCCAAGACGAAGGATCAGAAGAAACTATGCTGTTACCATGATAAGTTTGGTGCGCAAGCATATAAATGGATACATCGCCCTGCAAGTAGGAGAAGAAAGCTGTTGCGGAAAACTAGAATCGCCGTCGCGATTATAGGCGATCGTTGACGGGCTCACACAAACTCCTCGTCTGATTATTAGTGATAAAAAGGATGGCTTAACATATTTAATCGACACTAGAGCCGATGTATCCGTGATTCCGCGAAGAATGACATCAGGATCGAGAAGATCACACGAATTCCAACTATTTGCTATCAACAACACTATCATATATACGTATGGAAGCCGAACGAAGATTCTTGATCTAGAGCTAAGGAGGCTTTTCATATGGGATTTCATTGTAGCAGAGGTTAAACAACCCATCATCAGCGCCGACTTTCTAGCGCACCACAGTTTATTACCAAATTTAAAATGACGCAGACTACTAGATGAACAAATTTTACTTTCTGCAAGAGCTGGAATCAAGATTACTGAACAACCGTCTATAGCAACCATCAATGAAACTTGTAAATTCGGACAGCTTCTACGAAAGTATTTGGAAATAACATGTCCAGCCATGTTATACAAAGCGGCTCATTAACGTTAAGCACTACATTGTAACAAAAGGATCACCAATTGCAAACGATCACGCAGACTCGTTCCGAGAAGTACATAGCTGCTAAGAAAGAATTTGAGATGATGTTAGAGCTGAGAATTTGCCGACCGTCATCTTCTCGATAGGCGAGTCCCCTACATATGGTCCGGAAGAGCGATAGTGGATGGAGACCTTACGGAGACTTCCATAAATTAAATAGTGCTACCGTACTAAATAAGTATCCTCTACAATTTATACAAGATTTCATATATCGAATAGCCGATTGCCGAATTTTTTCTAAAATTGATCTTGTTAAAGCATTCTTCCGAATTCCATTAGCAGAAAAAGATCGACTCAAAACGGCGCTAACTATGCCCTTTGGACTTTTCGAGTTTAATCAGATGCCTTTTGAACTACGGAACGCAGCACAATTCTTTCAGAGATTCATCGATACAGCGCTTCGTAGACTGGATTTTTGTTTTGGTTATGACATCCTGGCGTCAAAGGATGAAGAAGAACATCGCCAGCACCTAGAAATAGTCTTCCAACGATTAAAGGAATACGATATAACGTGGCTAAAAGCAAATTCAGTGAAAAGGAAGTGGACTATTTAGGTTACACCGTCGAAGAAAACGAAATCAGGCCAATTTTGAACAGGATCAACGTCATCATGAAATATAAAAAACCAAGCAATGTCAGCGAGCTTAGACGATATTTAGGAATCGTCAATTTCTACCACCGCTTTATAAGGAATGCAGCAGCTTTGTTAGCACCGCTCAATGCATACTTAATGGGAGCAAAAAAGAAAGACAAGCGTCCGATAATATGGACACCAGAAGCTGACGTTACTTTTGAAGAGAGTAACAAACGTCTAGCAGAATCAACTCTAGCTCTATCACTTCTAGCTCATCCACTCGAACACACCAAGCTCATGCTGATGACAGACGCTTCAAACTTCGCCATAGGAGCCGTATTAAAGCAATATCAAGATGGCCATTAGAAGCCGCTAGGATTTTTTTCAAAAAATTGACAGATACTCAGCGAAGATACAGCACGTATAATTGAGAGCTATTGGCGATCTACGCTAGCTTGAAATTCTTTCGACACCTAGTAGAAACAAACAAGAGACATCACCATAGCAACTGACCATTGTTATATGTTTTCTTGCAGGTATCAAACAAAGCATCTGAGAGGCAGAGGAGGCAAGTTAACTTCATTAGTCAAATAACAACTAAAATAATCCACGTTAGCGGAAAAGAAAATGAAATTGCAGACACCTTATCACAGTTGGAAGCAATCAACATGCCAGTTGTTGTTTCTACGGACGAGCTCTACACAGACAAATGCTGAACTCAAATCGCTGTTAGAATCCCAGACAGTCCTCTCATTAAAAAAAACTACGTCTGGATGATAGTGAAAAGAAAATATATTGCGATGTGTTAGATTCAATAGAATATACGTTCCAGCTTCCCTTCGCAAAAGAATTTACGATATTTCACACAGTCTATCACATCCGAATGCGAGAGCTACTAGGAAGATCATTTCCCAAAGATTCGTCTGGCCAGATATGTGCAAGGATATCACCAGATGGGTAAAAACTTGCCTCGTGTGTCAAAAAGCAAAAATATTACGACACAACGTGAAGGTTCCTGAACATATTGCAGTTCCCGACGAAAGATTTCATCAGGTTCATGTGGATATTGTCGGATCCCTACCAGTCTCGAGAGGATTTAAATACTGCCTTACCATAATAGGCAGAACAACAAGATCAGAATGATCAGAAACTATGCCAATGGCAGATTGCCTAGCAGATACAGTAACAAATGCTTTCTTCAATACGTGGATCGCTCGTTTCGGAGCACCAGCGGTAATACAAACTGATAGGGATGCTCAATTTGAATCCGCTCTTTTCAAATTTATGGCAAAACTGTTTGGTAGTAGGAGAACGAGAACTACAGTGTATCATCCTCAAGCAAATGGGATAATAGAAAGATGGCACCGTTCACTCAAGTCCGCAATTAAGTGCCATATGTCGCAAGAATAAGTAGATATCCTCCCAATGATTCTACTTGGATTACGAGCAAGCTACAAAGAGGATCAAAGCATCAGCAGCGGAGATGGTCTATAGAACTACCTTAAAACTACCCGGAGAGTATTTTACCTTCGAAGATCCAATCGGATGTCCACGAATGTTTATTGAAAAGCTAAGAGAACGTATGCGCAAGATTCGAGGACCCTTCACAGCACATCATACAAAGAAGAGAACATTCCTACACAAAAATATGAAAAACTGCACTCCTGCATTCGTAGTAGATCACCCTAAAAGACCCTTGGAACTCTCATATGAAGACCCATTTCCAATCATAACAAAATTATCAGATTTTATTTACAGGTTCAATTACAAGGGACACCCAGAGGAGATAAACACAGATAGACTGAAGCCTGCCCTTATAAAAGAAGAAGCTCCGACTCTTTCTAGAAGATCCACCCCCTTCCATCCATCAATTTCAACCGTCTGGCATAGAATATCCAGCATAGAATACGGAAAGCAAGGACGAGTAGTCAGATTCGTAAATTCGCTTAGCGAGTCACTGGTGGAGGAGTGATGTGGCAACAGATCTTGTCCAAGGATTTCACTAGAGACTTTACTGAGCAGAGCGCATCAGAAGATGTTCTTTAAAAACGCTCAAATATATCTTCTTCGAATCGAGACTGTTAAAAGTAACTAACGTGATAACTTTTCTGTGAATAGAAATAAAATAGATACATTGTGGTAATTCCAAGGAGCATTGATTCCGCACTCCAGATATTACAGAGCATACATAACGGATCGAAATATAAAGGTAAGCAACCAGGAGGAAGGATAGCCACAACGATACGACCAATGTAGAATGACCTTAATGGAGTAAATGGAGTATGACGGAACTAATCAATTGGAGATAGGCTAAACATGGCAGTGCTGAACATATTCTAGAGGTGGCAGTGGGGATCAGTGATGCGAATTCCGGGCTGCTTGCAGCACGGTTACTAGTATGCGTAATAAAGGGGACATAAGAAGGTACATATATTACGATGAGTGTGTATTTGCGCATGCGTTGTGCCCGTCTATGCTCTCTTCATGTTAATACCCGTGCTGCAAGCGGCCCGGAATTCGCATCACTGGTGGGGATGAATGTCACTTCTCTCATATATAGCACTCCAGAAAGAATCAACGAAGAATGAAACGAAACCTACAAGTCCCTTAAGGCAGACCTGCAACATTATCGTTCACTGCATGAATTTAACATGTAATCAAAATATACAGATTTTGCAATGCAAATATTGCCCGAACTAGAGGTATTGAAGCAACAATTGCAAGAGAAAGACCAACAATTGCAAGAGAAAGACGAATTGAAAAAAATATCTGCCAAAAAGGAATAAATGCTACAATTGATTAACGATCTTCAAGCACAATCGGCGATCACTATTACGACTCTCGAAGACGACAAAAAAGAATATGTCACAGAACTGTTAAAATCGTACTGTATATATTGTATTTTGTGTATATTATATCTTTTGTACTTTTATATATATTGTAATAGTGTTGATATATTTATAAATATTTTATTCTTTAAATTTCGTACATACGATTTTGAGGAATTTAAAAAAAAATTGACATTCACGGATTTTTTAGGAAAATACATGTTATGGAGAAAAGTTTAAAATGTCGTGGAAAAAAATTTATTGTAATTTTTGTAATTATTACATTACAGTATTCTAAAATGTATTATTATTATTTGTATGCAAAGTATTCATAAAATATAATAAATTTGCACAATTCTATAGATTCAAAGTTCAAAGAAATGATAATTTAGCTGCAAATCCTTCCAACACTGTGTTACGTCCAGACTCCACAGTTCTTTTCTTCGACAAGAAACTTTCGTCATCACAAAGAATTAGTGAGCAGTAAAACTTGAAATAGGAGCTGAGAGCAATAAATGCTCGTTTTAACTAACAACCCATCCGGGACTGAACCGTTGAGTTAGATATTTGAACCAAATAGACAAACCTTATCTCGAGGGCTATAAAATGAAATAAGAGCTGAGAACAATAAATGCTCAGTTTTTAACTAATAAACCACTCGGGACAGAACCGTTGGGTTGCTATTGAAACCAAGGGCCAGATAGGCGAAATTTAAGAATAAACAAACTAGACCTTATAAAATGAAACAGCGGGTGTGAGCAACAAATGACATGTGGCTCGCATCTATTAGACACTCGAGAAACGGACAGACTAGGCTTTGTAAAATAAAACAGGGGGTGTGAGCAACAAATGACATGTGGCTCGCATCT